CCTAAAAATGTCATAAACATTTTATTAAAAAAATGCACATCCAATCTATTCTGTCGGCATTATTAAATTGTCAGATTTTATGCCTTTCTTGTGGCCTGTCAGCATCACTGATGTTTCATTGTTCATACTGAAAACTAGAGGGATACACTCACCATTCTGTCCTAGCTCTGAGACTAATGTTGTACTCCATCTAGAACTAATCAGCTTTCTGTCCATAACATCCTCCACTCTCCAATAGTCATTTTAAATCCACTAGGTGTGTAAAATAAACCATGTTATGGAACTCATCAGCTCCCAGCTAGTTTGACAGATAGAGGCCTTTTATGTGCTTGGTTCGATGGCCTTGGGTTCTAAGATGACCAATTTACCAGTATGTTGGAATCATTTATCCCGGGTGCTATTGGATATGTTTAGGGATCAGAAATATATGTCTGGAAGTGCTATTTATATTAATCATTTCATACTTTTTCAAACGTACTTTTTCAGATGTTTTGATTGGCGCAGGCAAACATGACCTGCCGAGACCCACGGGGTCTCTAGAACGCTACTTGTGAACTATATGCAGATCACCCAACTTCAGAATTTTGCTGACCATACACTGAATGATCTGAGTGGACAATATGCATTAGATATACCATCTAATATCTTGTGCAAGGTTCTCCCTATTGAATCCAGATTGGATTGTTTAGATTTGTCATCATATTAGACTATTTTGGTAAATGTGAAGGAGATTGCAGATATTTTACAATCAAGGTTCCTGCTGACTTGGCTCAAATTTGAGCAGTGGACGGCCCTGCCAGCACTCCTCCATTCAACAAGTTGATCAGGCTACTTTTGTCAAAGCTGGGCCTAAAATTGTCGGCTGCAGTCACTGTTGGTATACTCTGACTGTGATGGGTGCCAGTTGTTAGAATACAATAACCCATTGGGAGAGATTCCTACAACCACACTGTTAGCGGGGCTAGAGAGTGGGGCTGAACAAGAAAAAATGCAAACCAGTGTAGCAGCATCCTTCAGAGAACCTGAACAGCCAAATTTAGCCTCTTGTCCAGTGAGTGGGTGAAAAAGTACCCAACCTAAGGTTGGGCCATGTGCATACAGAGCTTTCCATGAATGTTAACAGACATCTTCAGGGACGGCTGGAACTCCGGCAAACTTTTTCTTCTTTGGACATAGTGGAGAAGGAAAAAAATTTCCAGCAGGTATTTTACTGAGGTTTGTGCCCCTATTTGCAAGATTTTGCCTATGTTCCTGTTGGGATAGAAAGTGATGGGACATCGACCCAATAGGACACAGACTTTAACAAAACATCCCCTTTTCAGTAAAATGGGGAGGTTGAGAACCTGTTTAAGGTTATCATTGTATGTGTTTTCTGTCTTGGTGACAACTGCTTCCTCCATTTCTTGTCCTGCTTTCACAAGGACAGGAAGTGAGGTGAAATCTTTCCATCTGGGTTACAGACGTATTTACTCTTCCCGAGTCCAACCCTAACCTATGGACTTTTGACTTGCTTGTGCTGCCATTTTTTTCATCCATAGTACGTTGTGCAGTGTTCAAAAAGCATGCTCTTGGGATTCTGATGTCATGTTACAAATGTGAAGACAATAACATTTCACTCACCAGCTGGTTTGTTTCTGGCGTGCTAGCATGGTCTTCTCTAGCATTGATATGGCTTGTAATGCTTATTGACCAGCTAACCTCAAATGTTCCCATAGACTGGCACTTTCTGCATGTATCACCTGCCTGCAGTTCCTGTATTCATTTTATTTATACGCATTTTCCAAAGCTTTATTGATTTCTATTGACAGACACATCAGCAGCAGCGACAGGGTAGGAAAGCCGTACCGAGGTGTGAAGCCTGTATTCAGCATCGGAGATGAGGAGGAGTATGACACAGGTACGACAGTATTGTATGTGATCAGAAAATGTGTTTTAATAGCTTTATATTTCAGGTGTGTGTAAATCTGACCTCAGACTTGAGTAGGTCATGTGTTTGGTCTTGTTCTGGGTGCCAGGTCTTCAGCCATTTGATTTAGCTCACAGAGAAGGGCAAAATCACAGGAGTGCATTCATTCCAGGCACCAAGGTGTTCCAGGAATATACACTGAGCTGCACATGTGCAGCTCAGTGTACATTCTGAAGAAGATGGCAGGCAGATGGGTACATTTTGTTTTATTGCAGAAGAGACATTGCACATCTCTTCTGTAATAAAGAGCCTGCATGTATGTAATATTTAGTGTTTTTTTAACTTTAGTTCATTTTAAGACTAAACACACACACATACACGCCTTTTACATTTCATACCTTTTTACTTATCAAAACTTTAGTGCAGCTCTCTAAACAGTCTGATGGGTTGCTTTGTTGCAGCTGCAGTGACCTTTAAATGGCTGTATGTATGCTTCTTTGTTTCCCTTCGTGACACCTGCACTGTTGCGAGGAGCTAAACTTTAAAAATGCATTCAAGAACCTTAACTATTAACAAAAATGTATCTTATTTGTGTATCACTCGGCTGTAGATCCTCCAATCATCTCTGAATTGGTGCTGACACTGTCCTTCCTTCTGGAGGGTGGCTACTTTTGTTCTCCATGGTCCATGTGTGTGTTGTAAAGTAGTCCCCGCTCCAAGCTCACTCCTAATAAACTATAACTTCAGTACAAATTCACTACCTAAAGGTGAGATTGCAGTCTATCCCGGGAGTGAGCTTGGAGCGGTGACTACTTTACAACACACACAGGGACCATGGGGAACAAAAGTATTCACCCTCCAGAAGGAAGGACAGTGTCAGCACCAATTCAGAGATGATTTGAGGATCTACAGCTGAGTGATATACAAATAAGATGCATTTTTAATAGCTGGGGAAGTTGAATACATTTTTAAGATTTAACTCCTGAGTTTAGTGTCACTTTAAGGGCACACAATTGTTTTCTATATGCCCTGTTCAAACTATACAAGTTTGTTGCATAAAAATGAGTATTTGTGAATTTTTATGCAATGCACACGAATGTGTAACAACAGGCTGTTGTGCATAGAGTTAAATGTGTGTTTTTCTTAAATTAATATAAGAAAGAAAAATGTCAATGCGTTGCAGCACGCATGCACAATGCACCTTAGTATGCACTTGGTGGGATTTGGGCTGGTAATAACTTCTATCTAAATGTTGCCTAGGCTCAGGCATACCTGGTTTTCTTTCAGCTTCATCCATTTTGCACAGAGCCACTGTAAGAATACAATGTTGTGGAAAATCGTATTCCATTAATCACAATTATGTTGGCAAAGCTAAATTGTAGGTCGCTTGACGCTGGCCACACAGATTAATTTGTGTACAATCTCCTTTTTATATACCAACAGTTGTGTGTGGGCTTACCTGCTTTGAAGTCAAGTGAATGAATGTTTTATGTAGGCTCTCGCACAACACATACATCTAGAGGAGATTCTACAATCCGATTGTATTCTATGTGGGCAGTTTAAATGTTCAGTTGCCTGTCCTTGCAAGCTTGCCATGGGGACAAGCAACCAGCATGAACACACACAAGAATAAAAGTGTAATGTATTGCAGCTTAGCAGTCCCTTAGATGTGCTGGCTGCATTCGTTTTTATTTCAGAATTTTGCCATGATATTTACCGGGTGATCCTTTCCTTCAGCATTGAAATAGGACTACAGAACACCTCCCCTCTCTTAATCTTGATAGGAAGGCCTTAACATACTTATTGATGACCTTGTTTGATATAACATTATAATGTTTACAGGACTGCACTGTATTTCTGATCTGATCAACAGGCATTTCTTTGCTCTCATGGAACAGATATGACAATATGGATTTGATGTTACATTTAACAGACCAAAAGAGCGCAAATAAGAGTTTTCATGCAGTTTAAATATGGTCCTCGTTACATGAATACCTTTATCACAGAAAGAAACAAATCCGTAATCTTCATCTCTACTGTCCTTCATTATCACAGCATTTGTTTGCTGCTTTACTATAGCTGTAAGCTTTAGATCATCCAATAATCCCGAATCTCGATGTTCCATTTCCTTCTAATAACCGGCATGAAGAATTCACATTTCTATTGTTAGACTTGTTCTGTTTGTGTTATGTGTTTGTTACCTCTTTCTTCTCTTTATTTTCTTCCAGATGAGATTGATAGCTCATCTATGTCTGATGATGATCGCAAAGAAGTTGTTAATATTCAAACATGGATAAACAAGCCAGACATCAAGCATCACTTTCCATGTCATGAAGTTAAAGAAAACGGTCACATGATTCCAAGGTGTGTAACAAGAGCATTGTGTTGCCTCACCTCAGTTTTGTCATTAAATCTGAACTTCAGGCAAATACATACATACATACGTACGTGTTTTACTTCCCGAGGTATTTGTATTCCTGTCCTGAGATTTACTCAATCCTGCCATACAGCACAACCAGCCTGGAGGCCTAAAGCCCCATGCACACTGAGTGACATGAAAATCGCGCGATTTTATATGAGCGATATTGAGCGACTTGTCCCTATTGGGCTGTATGCAATCAGGAGCAAAATCGCTTGAAAAAAGGGTCATGTAGGAGCTACAAGCGATGTTGAGCGACGAGATGTGAACAGCTCCATTGAAATGGATTGGTGAAGCTACATAGAGCGATTATCGCGTGGAAATATGAGCGATATCGCTCAGTGTGAATGGGGCCTAAATCTTCTGCTGATGTTTTGTAATCTAGCCAAGTCTTGTCTCTGCCCCAAACCTCTTATTAGACAGTGAAGGAGAAGCAGCAGTTTGATGAGCGGATCTATGTCACTCAGCTTTCATCCTGTCAGCGTTTTCCTTGTTGGCACATGTGCACTGCAGCACAGCTGACTTTCTCCTTGTGCTGCTTCTCACTTTCCCAGACTACGCTCTGCTGTACAGGGAATTGTAAGAGGCTGATGCCAGTCAGATTTGGGTACTTATTTAATGAACACACCGATAGCATTTGGAGTTGTTTTTTTTCTGAAGTTCTGCTTTAAAGTGATGCGGATATATGTTTGCTTCATGTCCTCTTGTAGCACATAAGGATATGTTGGTATGGGCGCTGGAGCTCTGCAGAGTTTATAAACTAGATTTTCCATATTTTTTGACACTGCACATAAAACCTTGCAAATTCTGCATGGAGCGTCCAAGGCAAAAAGTAAACCTTGAATGTCATTTAGCTGGAATTGGACTTCCTCATGACCTAGGTTGTGTCATTCCCTCCTGTAGGTATGTCCAGATAGAATGTTTTCTCTTCTTTCCGATTAACTCTCTTGCTGTCACCAGTGTAAGGCTTATGTCAGCCGGCAGCCCGGACCTTTAAACAGTTGTGCAAATATCATGTGACAAAAAACACAACTGGCACCATTTATTCTTCAGGGTCTCTGTTTTCAAAAAATATATCATTTTTTGGGGGGGGGAGGGGGGTAACCTTCAGGCTTAACATGTGTGCAAAAACAGCTCTGACAGCAAAATGGTGTAAGATTGTCATATATTGCAGCTTACCAGGCCTTAGATGTGGTGGCTGCATTAGTTTTCCTTTTCCAGGCTAAAAATATTTTCAGCAAATACAGAAAATATTTATTCCTGCTGTGTCCTTGACACTTCCTGGGAGCTGAAATGAATGCAAATACCATGTTATTTTGTTCTGTAAAGTACTAATCCCATCACCCTTTATGTAAGATGACATGAGCAAAGACAGATACGTTGGAAGTCCAGCTTAGGTGTCATCCATGACTGCCCCCAAAAATACAGTGGAAGAGTGAATGTAGCCAGCCAGGACAGGAAGTGTATTATTCCCTTGAATACCAGGTGAAAGTAATGGGGAAAAAGAGCTTAAAGTCACCCGGGAGCCTTGCTCCCCTTTTAAAAGCCTTTTTTTGGCTTTAGTCCTCTTTTGGGTCAAAATACCGTGTTTCCCTGAAAATAAGACACTGTTTTATATTTTTTGGGCTCAAAAAAACACACTAGGTCTTATTTTTGGGGTAGGTCTTAATTTTTTTTTAATGTACAACAATCCACACTTATTAACGGTAGAAGACTTACAAGACAGGAGTGAGTGGCAAAGTTAAGATTAGGGTAATCAGGGGTGTCGTACCTTTCCAAGAGCAATTTGCTAACCAATCGCTGGCCAGAATGAGCGAAGCGCGCTTTCACTATGGATTCCTCACAGGCGGAGTGCATTTGGTATCACTCCGCCTGTGACAGGAGGCGGCTCTATTGAGGAGGCACCGGCTTATGCGGCTCTGTTCCCTCCGCTGCCACCTCGCTTCCTCTAGCGCTGGCTTCGTTGGCACCGCTGATTCTCTCCTGCCTCTCCCCAGGCTCTTCAAGTTCCTTATGCCACCACCATCCCTGGGCATGGGCAACATCACGTCTTATTTTCGGGGTAGGTCTTATATTTTAGCAATTCACAAAAATAGTACTAGGTCTTATTTTAGGGGTAGGTCTTATTTTCGGGGAAACAGGGTAGTATATTTACTAATGTCCTCCTGTGACCCAAACTCAGTCCAGCAGCCTGCTATATGCTGACAACACAGAGCCGCACTGCAGCTGGGAAGGATCCTAACAATATGGTCAGGATCCACCCCACTGCATGATTGGCAGCTGGCTTTGCCTCTCTAGAGCCAGCTGTGCCCGCCCACTCCTGTATTCCCTCCAATGAGCGCTGGAGAAACGAAGAGGGGAGGGGGGATTCCTTTCACAGAGCGTCAAACAACTGCAGTGTCGTTTGCCCGCTCTAAGTATTGGGAAGAGTACATTTTACTCTTCCAATTTTCTCCCTTAAATTTGTGCTGTGGGTTCTGAGCAGCATTGTCAGATAGCTGGCGCCTCCTCCTCCCTCCACTTGTATCTGACCACATTGATGAGCAAAGGAGACGGTGTTTCTGAGTGACAACTCCGAGATAACAGATGGTGGCAAGGAATGCAAAAAGAGCCTGCGTGGTTCCCCCCACCCATCCTCTGCAAGATGCCGGCTCTCCTAATCCTGCAGTCCTGTAGGTGCCTCCTCTGCTCCCTTAACCCCTTCGTGACGGGAGACGTACAGTGTACGTCTTGTCACTTTGTGCCTATATGACTGGCCACGTACACTGTACGTGACGAGTTATATCAGGCTTTGTAATGCCGGTATTTGCTGATTCTCAGCATTTAACAGTCATTCATTAATGTCTCAGTATTGAGGCATTAATTAATGAAATAATTAAGCTTTTTGTAAAAGCTTCTTCCTTTCATTAATGAAAGAATGAAGCCGTTACATGCAAATAGAGGACCGCAATTTGCGATCCCGTATTTGACAGCTCAAAATAGCAGAGAGGCAGCAGTGACTCACCTCACCTCTCTGCTATTTGTTTTGACAGCTGGAGAGCCCGATGTTTAGATACATTTCACTGAAAGGATACAATGTATATCTTTTGAGTGAAGTGTATCAGACTTCTGATCGTCTAGGCATGATCCAAAGAGCTTTTAGTGAGATCTGAATCTGACTAAACTCAGGATCAGTCTCTAAGGTTATTATTAGCTGTTCCTAAGTTTGGATCAGCCTAATAGCCAAAAATAAAATAAAAAAATTAAAAGAACCTGAAAACTAGCTCAGTCATGAAGGGGTTAAAGGACATACAACCTCAGCTCTACTGGTCCCGTACCCTCCTATTTCAGATCACAGAGGACAGTGGGGGGAATTAATCAAATCTGGAGCAGATGAGCATGGCAGCCAATCAGCTTTTCTTTTTCATTTTCAAGTCTTAAGTGAACAAACTGAAGAGAGAAGCTGATTGGTTGCCGTTGGCAACTGCTCCAGACTTTGTCTGCTCCGGTTTTGATCAATTCTCCTCCATCAGTCTTCGGTCTTCTTGTGCAATCTGCAGCTGCTGTAATTCACAAGAAAACATAAGCGAGTAGAGGAGACACAGAAAGGGTTGGAATATTACATGGAGGGTAGAGAAGTTTGGGTGTCTTAGTGCTGGCTGTACCTCCCCTCCTAGGAACGCCCATATTTTGGGCTTCAGCTTGGGGAGGAGCTACATCCAGCCCTAACCACAATAAAAATGTAATTGGAACGGGGACAAGTATATTATGAACTGGGTCCACCGGGGCATTTAACGGGCATTTCATAGTTGTGGGAAAACATATTTAGAAGAAAACTAATGCAGGTTATCCAGGGACTGGAAAGTGCAATATCATTTTTTTGTTTTTTGGGGTCAGATGCACTTTAGCTAATACGACAGTATAATACACGGAAATAATGAATTACTTTGCTTCCTTTTTGTTTTTCCTTTTAAAAGTAACCTTCTGGTAACAGCAACCCACATGTATTGTTTGCGGGAGATCCAGTCTAGGAAAGGATTTGCGTATATACAGTCAAGGCAAGCGCTGAGCTCGGTTGTAAAGATCACATCTAAGAAGAAACATCCAGAGCTGATCACATTTAAATATGGAAACAGCAGTACATCAGGAGTGGAAATACTAGCAGTGGAGAGGTGAGAGAATTCGGTACCAATATACATTCTGTACAATGAAAACATCACTTATATGGTCAAAGGCTCTTTCTTTGCATATATGTGTGTGCAGTAGCCCTGGGCATTAAAGCCCCAGCACTTCATACATAAAGCTATTTATTTTAAAAAGTTGCTAATTCACAAATCTGCTCTTCTAATTTCTTACATGAGGTGTCTCAGCCGAGTTAGAAACATGCAAAATCTCAGTGCAATGCTGTAGCATCTACCAAGGGTTAAAATGCTCAGTGACAGAGATCTAATATAATCAAGATAAATCCCACGCCAAATGTGTAACCTAGCAGCAACACTAGAATCAAATTCATGATGCAAATGACAATGTAGAGAAGTGTCGTGCTCTAAAAACTGTAACCAAATGTTAAATCACTTGAAGTCCGGGGAGTTACACCCCCTTCCTGGCCAGGCATTTATTCCGTCATGCAACGCTGCACTGAAACAAATTTTATACCATTTTTGGGGGGGGCAGATAGAGCTTTCTTTTGGTGGTATTTAATCACCACTGGGGTTTTATTTTTCACTATTTAACAAAAATATATTGTTAAATGTTTACATTGCTGAGCACGCACCAGCACGCACACGAGTGGGGGGAGGGGAAGGACGTCTAAAGCAGTGGTTCTCAACCTGTGTAACCACAGGACCCACATTTGTCCTCGATCATTAAGTTGCAACCCAAGTCGCACTACAATGGAACGCACAGCAGTGTGGGCTGCCGTGCTGTGATGGAGCTCCACCCATACATGCATTGCTGTTACAGCTCCCATGCACTCCCTGTAGAGGTGCTGGGAGCCAGAATGTGACATCACTCCAGTCCAGGCACCTCTATAGGAAATGCGAGGGAGCTATAAGCATTTCACGTATGGATGGAGCTTCTTCGCGGCCATACTCCCAGCCCACCCCACTTCAAGTTAACACTCGGAGCCGGCTGCTCAGTGTAAGAATGGCTGCTCAGTGTAAGAATAGACAGTGCTGTGCTAGGGGGAGGCTGGTAAGCCTCTCGCCTAGAAAAGTAGAAGGCATGTGGCGACCCACTGAACACGCGGTCGCGACCCACTTTTGGGTCACGACCCACCAGTTGAGAACCAAGGGTCTAAAGACACCCTCCCGCTCCTATAAGGTTCAGAAACTGCCAATGGATGGGAGGTGGTTAAATATGTGCAAAAATAACCATCAAAATCATATACAAAAGTAATTCATCAAAAAAAACAAAACACCAATCTGGAGAATAAATATAAATATTTATTTTTTTAATAATATTTGGTTACAATCTTTAGAGCGCGACACTTCTCTGCATTGTCATTGACAGTTGGAGATGTGTTGTGCAATTCCGGAAAAGAAGAGAGCGAGTGTGGTCACATGATTTTAGAATGAATTCAGAAATGTGAAAATAAGGATGTTTTGTGTGTAGGCAAAGAAAAGCCAATTTCAGGGTTTGATGCAGTTTATCTTGGTTCCATATTTTGCATGCATGGCTGTTTATTAATCTCAGGAATATGTTCTCTTTCTAGGTACTTAATACCCAACGCAGGAGACGCTACCAAAGCCATCAAACAACAGATCATCAAAGTTCTTGATGCCTTGGAAAGCTAACAGCACCTCTACCACCCTTTTCTATTTGTTGACCAGAAAATAAAATAGTTAATTTAATTTTCTTGGGGTTCTATTTCATAACACTCCTTTTGCATAAGTTTTTTTTTTTTTTTAATGATTTCCATTTTGACAAGTGTACATTACTGTACTGAAAACGACTGTTCAGTAGAGGAGAATGATATCTGACCTGATCATCCCAAGGCTCAGAAATGGAAATGAAGGAGGAATGACATGGACTGAATGATATATTTTTTTTTTTTCCTACAGTTGATTTTGTGTAAATAAAGGGGAAACACTCAGGTTAGCGTACCGGTGATGGTAAGCACAGAGCCCTGACTGGATCAGTATTGACAGCGGACGGTGCACAGAAAGGACTGTACTATGCACCAGAAGCGCTCCTCATCATAACCAAATCACATTTAACCACAATGCACTAACAATAGGTTTTAATTTGTTTTTGTTTTTTGTACATTCCATCTATAGTTTCCACAGGGCTAAAACCACCTCCCAGCTACCCCAATTTGTTTCATTAATGTCCCAATTTTCAGACCTCAACAATGGATTGGTTTGTTAGAAACTGGCATTGAATATGAATTGGGGTTTGAGCGGATAAGGTTTGAAAGCGTTTTAAAGGAGAGCTCCAAGCAAATGGCTATTTTTCATTATCTGCACACGCAAAAAACCACAGATCACATTATCCATTGCAAACTATAAAATCTGGTCTAGTAAAGGGCACACCTACATCTAACCATTTTTAAAGTAGTGCATATGCTGGGAATCTGGTTATAAACGTCCGTAGAAAATGTATGAGAATGAATGACCTAAAACTATTCTATTATTAAACACACGTACTGGTAGTTTTAGGCTTCCCTGGAGCTCTCCTTAAAATGTTTCCTGCCTCGAGATTTTGGAAGGTTTGGCTAAATCCATATCACTACGTCATCATGTCTGTTATCCTTATTGTTATTTTATTTGCAAGTTAATATATGGGGAAAAATGTGCAATCTGTGTAGGAATGAATTTGGGGGGTTAAGACCCCCTTTAACTGCCAGGAGTTCTGCATCTAGTGTGGTCTACAGAGACAAAACCATATAATGCATTTGCTTCATTAAGCACACTATGGGGATCTTGTCTCATCTCTCATACAAACATCTAATAAGGAAGCGTGTTCTCTTCTATTTCTTTCTTTTTTTTTAACACAATTCTGAAAATATACCTGAACTAACAGGACCAGAACCAGTATTATTACCACCGCCCAGTACTGATGTGACCCGACAGGTCTTGCCTGTTCAGTTTGCTTTTAACAAAATCATAACAGCAACTGAAAAATAAACCTTTTATGGAAGAGCATCTGAAATCTTTGAATTCCAACCGGTTGTGTCTTTTTTTTTTTTTATTAAACCTTCTATTTGTTTTATATCCTAAGGCTTTTGTACACTTGGCACTATTTTTGGTATGGTTGTCCTTTAATAGTTTCCCACCCCCCTGAGTGCGTTCCATTGTGTTAATACCTGACTGCCTTCCTATTCCAGCCATGTTTATAGCCTTTCCACTGAGACTGTCCCCCCTATATCCTCTTCTGCCTGAACATGTACACCATGGCCCCATTCATTCCTAAGGGAGAGCTGTAGTTCTGATGGCCTCCAGAGCAGTACATCCCTCCCATAGGAATGAATAGGGCCATGGCATGCATGCTCGGGAAGGCCATGGCAGAAAGGCTGTGCAGTGTTTGGGGAAAGGGGGGGGGGGGGCACAGAGAATAGGATTGTTGTGTTGAGAAAGGCAAGTATTTAACCAGATGGGCTTCAATCAGGAGGGATGGAGACAGTTATGTAAAATACATGAAGTTTTAAAGCTGAACTCCAGGCAAAGGGCTAAAGGCACAGAGCTGTTTTACCTGTCACAGGATTTGTGTTTCTATCCAGTCCTGACATTTACACAGCTCAGGCCTGTTTGGCAAAGGACAGGAGACCTTGTTTTTCTTTGCTGCAGTTCTGTTACAACTAAATGTATTTTCCCTTCTCCACCCTGTGACTGGACAGTGAAAGGAGAAGTAGCACTTTGATTAGCTCATTTCTCTGCCACACTGCTCCTATCAGCATGCTTTTTGTACTGACTCACAACTGATTGGCAACTTGTACTGCTTCTTACTGCCCCAGTCTCGGCTTTGCTACACAGTAGACTGCAAGAGGCTGATGCAAGTAAAATGCATCTACTTTACACTAAATGCATTTATTTACTTATTATTGCAGCTTTGCGTTGATTAATATGTGTATATGGGCTAGGTGCACACCTAGGCAATTCAGATGTCAAGCTGTTGTTGCACATTTTTGCGCAGTTTTCAACGCATAGAGATGGGACCCGAACGGTGCGACAACTGGCGGAAAATAGAAGAATATCAGAATTTTTTAGAAAACAAACTATTTTCCCCCACAGTGCTTTAAAGGGCATTTTCTGTTTATTAACCCCTTCATGACTGAGCTTGTTTTTAGTTTCTGTTCGTAAATGACTGACACACTTTTGACATTTTTGCTGTGTGATTCTTCCACGTCAGTAATATACTTTCTTACAAAGTGCACCCACACATATTATATATTGTTTTTTAGAGGACAGATAGGGCTACATATTTATATCACATATGCGCGTCTAACGCCTCACTTAGGACAAATAAAATATAAAAAAAGAGGAAAAAACCGTTTAAAAAAAACACTTTTTTCCCAGTTTTGATTTGTAGTATTTTTTTTACAAAACCAGCACAGCTAAAAAAAATGCAATAAATACATTCATTTATTTGTCCCTTATTTTATTTTATTTTTTACACATTTTTTTATTTTTTTTACACTTTTCACAATTTTTTTTTTTTTTTACACTTTTCACTTTTTTTTTTAACTTAAAAATGTTATTTTATTTATTTAATTATATCAAGCAGATTTTGTGAATTAATCTCACTGTTACTGCTTGATAAATTAATAAATTTTTGGTTATTATCAGGCTGCTTCAAACTTCAGAACAGCCGATAATAAGTTAGTGACACTGATCCTGCAGCAGTTCAGGATTCAGCTGTTACTAAATGTTTTCTGATTGTTGCAACAACGATCAGCAAACAAACATTCTTCTTCCAGGAATAGATACATTGTAGGAATAGACACATTTTGTATCTATTCATGAAAGAAAAAAAAAAAGCCAGTATAGCTTGAGAGAGATATCTCTCGATCTATACGAGCTGTCAGAATGCCGGCAAAAGCCGGCATCTGTGTCCGCTTTGCTTTGACTCTCAGACACCCGATATTAAGGTATCGGGTGTCTGAAAAAGGTTAACCCTTTCATTAATGAATGCCTCTGTAGTAAGGGCATCCATTAATGAATGTTAAAAGCTGATTCTCAGCGATTAACAGCCCTCTAAAGCAGCAAATAACTCGTCACGTACAGTGTACGTGACAAGTCATTTGGTCCCTTTGTGGCTGGACGTACAGTGTACGTCTCCCGTCACGAAGGGGTTAAAGACAAAGATGGTTTTCATGTTAAATCCCTTAAATTTGACTCTTCCTTCCCATGGTTTCCAAAAGGGCCGCCCTTCCTTTTGAGAAGTTAGCTCAGTTGAAAAATAAGATAGAGGACCTTTTACACAAAGGGGAATAGGTGGCTGAATCACTGCAGCTCATCGCTAAGGTATTTATATGGTGCCTACCAATTTACACAGCGCTTTATATAGTGCACATTCACATCAGATCCTGCGAACAATCTAAGGTCCCTATCTCACAAACAATGACTTTTTTTTTTGCTCAATGCGTAGAGGTTAGCACAAACTTCCTGACATTACAAAATATCAGATCGGGGAGATTTGTCCCCAACCAAATGAGTGTCATTAAGAAGGATTATGTCTATACTGGGACCGATGACCATGGCTACTCCAGTACAAGTATGCATTACTACCCCCATGATGGTGTGGTGATAGGAGCCCATATGGATGGACAGGTCATACAGGGGAGATAGAGCCAAATAATCTCTTTAGCCTCTATGAGTTTGCAGGAACTGACAACCATAACGGAAGCAATTATGTATTTTCAAGACCAGATAAAGGGGTCTTATGTGCTGGTCTGGTCAGAGAATATAACAGTTTCCTACATTAATCATCATCAGGAGCGCACTAGATCAAAGTCTGAAAGCAACATTGCAAACCACTTGCTACAATAGGCAGAATATAATCTAATGTGCATTTTAGCAGTTCATGTAAAATTAGAGAAAAGCCAACTCGCAGATTTTTTTGAGCTGGGGCAACTAGACCTGGGGGAGTGGGCATGCAACCAGGAAGTGTTTGAGATGATCTTGGAACATTGAGAGTGATCGTCAGTAAACTTAAAGTTAAATACCATGCTAAATATGTCTAAAATCACATATACAGTGTACTCAAACATCACATAACGATACATATAGCATCATTACACAGAGACCCACCACTAGACCCATAGGTGACCTCAAGGTAAGTGCAAAGCCCTGGGAAAGTGGCACCAATATAGTTGTACTGAAGCAAGAATCAAAACACAATATGATGTAAATAGGAATTGAATGGGCTCACTGGGATCAGTCAGTCAAACCCGATATGCACAGTCCTAAGATTATAAACCAGATGTCATCAAACAAATTCTGTGCTAAATTTTGAATGGCGGCTCAGCGCGAGGACCGACAGTGCTGCCCACGATTAAGGCTGAAACGTGTAAGCATTTATTTGTTTGCTGCTGTTATGCCTTATTACAAATAAAGTATTGGATGGACGGATTCCCTTGCAAGTGCCAGTTTTGTACCTACTGCCCAAGAGGGAAGATTGAGGAGCCTCTCACCTATCGTCCCGTCTTTGCTCACACAAACAGAGAGACAGCTTCTCTGTGTGCCAGTTTTGTACCTACTGCCCAAGAGGGAAGATTGAGGAGCCTCTCACCTAGCACAGAGGGAGGCACACGGCGGCACACTGAACACTGGGTGCAACCCACTATTGGGTCGCTACCTACCAGTTGAGAACCACGGCTCTACTAGAGCAGAGTGTGTTTCCATTCAGATTAAATTATTGCACCTCTTTCCCAGCATTCACATCAAGTTACTGGATCATTTTCCAGTGAATAATTCAGTGTGGACTACCTTTACCCCTTCGTGACTGGAGATGTACAGTGTACGTCCCGGCACTTTTTGCCTATATGACTGGCCACGTACACTGTACGTGACGAGTTATATCAGGCTTTGTAATGCCGGTAACAGCTGATTCTCAGCGGTTACCAGTCATTAATGAATGCCTCAGTATTGAGACCTTCATTAATGAAATAATTAAGCTTTTTGTAAAAGCTTCTTCCTTTCATTACAGGATACAGGACCGCAATTTGCGATCCTGTATTTGACAGCTGAAAATAGCAGAGTGGTAGCAGTGACTCACCTCTCTGCTATTGGTTTTGACAGCTCTAGAGCCCGATGTTTAGATACATTTCACTAAAAAGATGCAATGTATATCTTTTGAGTGAAAGGTATCAGTTCTGATCGTCTAGGCACGATCAAAGAGCT